CCCGCTTTCCTCAGGCACCGCTTCCTGTAGATGTCTTGGAGGGAGGGAAGCTCACCTCCAATTATCCGTTCAGAGCACCGCACTACTCGCTGGAGAGCTTTGCAGTTGTAGGCGGTGCTGTCGCCATACCAGGTGGTGATGCATCCAGTGAGGATGCTCTCAATGGCACAGTGATAGAAGGTCCTGAGGATGCGGGGGCTCATGCCGAATCTTTTATTATTAACTATTACTATTAACAAGAAAAACTATTTAAGAGTTTTCATGGAAATGAAATTTGATATCAGAAATTTTTCAAAAGGAAAATGCTTTCTCTAAAGACAAACGAGAGAGAAATTAAAATAATTTCTAGAATAATAAGATTATGTGAAAAAACAATTTGTCTAAACGATAATCTCACCGTCAGTCAGATGTTAAAGCTGTTAGGAGGAAACGATGAGAACAGCGGAAAAAAATGCCCAAAATATTTCTTTAGTTAACAAAAAAGAAACTTTGAACAATGTTTTATTAGAAAACTCAGAATTATTCATTCAATATGTGAAAGTGAAAATAGTTTCCTAAATATATTTACCAAAAATCATATTTGGCTCATTCAGAAAATACAAATGGATAAATTTCTCCATAGGCAAGAAAAGAATTCCAGTAGTAGAGGAGACCGTAATGTGGGTCAGTTCTAACACTTCCAATTTCTCCAATCAGAGCTAAGTTTCAAATGATGCGATTCATTCTGTACATGCCAAATTCAGTTCTTCTATCACATGTGAAAAATTAGCACATTTTGGCAAACACGGACAATTTAAGAAGAAAAGAAGTAATTTGTTTGCGAAAAGTAAGTTTAAAAAACAATATTTCAATTTCTGATAGCATTATCTGCTTTGCAGTTAAACTCATCAAACTGAAATTATGTTATTTGTATGTCTATGGCGATATATTCTGTGTAGGTTTTTAGTGCTAATGTTTTAGCTGTTGGCTGTAATGTTAGCTAGTTGAGATGGGCTGGCCTTTATTTGTCAGTTGCAGTTGCCCACAACCGAGATGACAGACCGTACATACAATACACAAACATCACATTGGGGAGACAGGTCAGGCTAGGTAGCGAGGAAAAAAACATTGAAATATGTAACACAAAAGGATAATACAGGAATCATCATCACACCATAACACAATAAAACACAGACAGCAACATGGGAGAGTGTTCCAGTGTGTACAGCTGATCTGGGACCGCTGCAATCTCCGATCGCACCTCCAGCTGATCCACTGTCCACATCGGATGGGAGGTAAACCTGGGAGGAGGTGTTGGATTCGGGGGGGGAGGATGATAGTGAGGGCGTATCAGTATCAGTGTACATGTTTCATGTGTGTGCATTTGTGTGTGTATGTTTATCCCGTGTTCAGCTGAGAGAAAGTGTCATCACGCCCGGTTAAGCGAAGGTCTGGGGGCCTTGAAGGAGGGACAAAGAGTTCTGACAACAATCCTGTTATCATGGACGAATTTGTTGTTCCAGTCAGCTTCGACCTCGGCAGCCTTCAGCTGGCGCCAGTGGGATGGCCGCATGAGTGAAGATGGTGAATGTTTGGGTGTAGTGCGAACAACTGCATCCAATTTATGCACAAATTATGGAGTGCATATTAAAAAAGGACAGTTTCAGGGTATCCCACCCTTAGATAGAGATGGGCACACCTGACTGATGACACTGCAATTTTCCTGTCGAATACACACGATGTGAGCAGACAGCTACTTGTGTCAGGGCTGAAAATGAGTCTGTCTTATTACCTTTCAAACATTTAAATCTGTCAGAATTAATGGTATACCTGTTAAAACAAAACTACATATTTGGGTGATTATTGAAAACAATCAAAAAGGATGTAAACTTCTCCAATTTTTGCTCCCGTAACTCCTGTGTTACTGCCGAAGACTGGACAATGTTGCTTTATGACCAGAAATGCCCAAAGAGATCTCTACAGACTTACATCAACTTTGATTTGATTAATATGGAGAAAGAAAAGCGATCGCTTCAAAAGGATATTCCACATAAGGCAAACAAAAATATGGTCTGGAATGACCTCACGGCACAAGCATAGTCCCAACCAATGCTGGTGGTGCATCTTTTCAACAGCTCGAATCACATAATGAAGCATTGACGTCATTTCAGAGAGTTCATCTTTGGTCACATGATATTCTGGAGCCCGACACGGGCTTCTTTTGGACACACCCATGTTCAAACGTTTCATACAAATGAGTTTTTAATCAAATAACCGTAAAACAGATGCACCACACCGATAGCCTGATATTAAACAGAAGTTGCTAATGCAGAGAGGGTGATCACAGTGAGGCGGCTCATTTCAAGCTGCTGTTCATATTTTTGGCCACCAGATGTCACCAAAGAGGACTAAAGCGCCTCGAGTAGTGAACCATCTTGGTGGAGGGACATGGTGCAGGTTCACCGAGCAACCCCCGGCCTGGACGCACTCTGCTCAGCTTCGTTAGCACTTTTAGCAATGATGATCATTATTCTGGTGATTTGTGACACAGAACTGTTTTTTTAAATCACTGCTACTGTTGATCTCTAAGGTGAGGCATGCACAGTAGATATTTGAGACTGAAGTTTCCTGTCCTTCAGCCTAATGGAGCAAATCACTGCAGTCATCCCAGTCCAAGCGAACGTAGTCTGAGTGATTGAACTAAAGTACGCTGAACGTGCTGCTCATAAAAACGTTCCTGCTGTGAATAAAAGTAAAGAGTAAACTCACACTCCGAGCGTCACCTCCTCCTGACAGCTTTAGTTTTCAAGCTCACACCTGCAGACTCACTGCTGTTTATGGTTGGAGAGTAAATATAAAAACACAATTCCAACAAGTCTGACCTGAGGTCAGCAGGTACAGTGCAGGTGTGGTGTTTCAGGATCAGACATTAATGCTTGTAAAACAACAGCACTGCTGTAAAACTGCCAACAGAAAACAACCAAGAAATGAAGCCGACAGTCTGTTTATTGTTGATTATTTATCACTGATGCTCGTTGGGGAAACACAAAGACATTCAGACCCTCCTACTGTCTCCATAGCTGTGCAAGGGATCGTCCTCGGATGGTGATGCAAACTTCTACAGATCTCGTTGGATCCTGACCTGCTCTCTCTCTCTCTCTTGCGATCACTGAGCTCATTTCCTGTCTGTTGATGTGTTTTTATACAGCTGTGTCAATATTATTGATTACTGATTAATGATTGTTGCGCTTCAAGCTGCATTTGGTTTCACTTCCTGTCTGATCGATAACGAGTGTTACCAGCACGCCTGTGTCTGGCTGGACTTAAACAGTGTGTGTGGATGTTTGTCTGAGTCTGCTCAAACTACTCTCAGCTGACCTTTGACCCTCCTGAACATTCTCGCTCTGTGCTCACATCGAGCTGCTCAGAAGGTTTAAACTTCGTCACCCCCTCTTTCCAGCTCCACCCATGTGGTGATGTCATCGCTGGATGGAGCAGCTGCAGAGCTCTGGAGAGTCAGAGGGAGGGTCAGACCTGCAGACGGAGCAGCTGAAACATGGCAGACTCTTCATTGTCCTCCAACAACTCCTCCTCCTCGCTGAGAGACCTCACGCACACAGGTGAGACACCTGATTGTTGGCATGGAAACAGTGTAGACTAGACGGAGGCTGCCACCTGTTCTCACCTGACTGCGTTTCACCAAACAGGCTAACAAAGCTCTGTTGTCCCGATCAGCTGACTGTCAGTCAGGCTGCTGTGTGTGCGTGTGTGTGTGTTTGTGTGTGTGTTTGTCTCTGTGCGTGTGTGTGTTTGTGTGTGTGTGTGTGTGTGTG